TAACCATTTGAGAATAAAGTATAACAATAATAATAGTTTGACCGGTTTGATGTGATATGAGCAAACCGATCTTTAGATTTAATCATCATTGGTAGCGAGATTTATGGTAATGCTTTTTTTCTCAGTTGGTCAGAACAAACGTGGCAGACTTGTTACTTACTTGTTCAGATGGCAATATCTGGTGAAAATTCTTATTTGGGTCATACTTCCAAGCCGTAGGCTAGAATCTGTGATTGTGAAGTACAGTAAATATCCACACCGGTGCGGTGACTGACTGCCACACATACGCTTCAGAACATTAGATTCATCCGCGCTGGAGCCGTGCCGGAGCACAACCCACGCAAGCTAGATAATTCCGCACACAGCTGCAATTACAGGTTTTCAAACAGAGATGGCGACAAAGAGGCAAAACTTACGGATTGCAGCTTTAAAATGTAGTAATCACTTTAATGTAGCTTGCACTCACTGTTGTAAACGGAAGTAGATCCGGGCGGATGACGTATGGAGGTCTGCGTTGCACATGAGCCGCTCAGAAGTGACGCACGCGGAAGCGCAGCGGAGAGATCAAAACAAAACAACGGTCACGAATTAGAAGTACAAAACGAGGATATGTAAAGAAGAATGTGGGAGGATTTCGATATAATCCAAGAGGAGACTGGTTTTCCTTTGTTAAAGTAAAGAAACTTTGCTTCCTTTGCTCCTGTTAACAAACGTTGGTTTTCACGAGACTCACCGGCGCATGCGCAGCGCTGACCTCATACGTCATGCTCCCGGAGCTGCTTCTGTGTACAACAGCGAGCGCAAGCTACATTAAAGTGATTATTACGTTTTGAATATGGATATTTTTCTTACAAAAACGCATCGATTCGCTACAGGAGGCCTTTGTTCAGCCCCCGGAGCCATGAGAGACACTTTTTTATGGATGGGCGCTTTTTATTTAACTTCTTTTGGACTGATGCATGCAACACCCGCTGAGTGGCATTAAACAGCTTGAAAGATCAAAGACAATTTTAATATAACTCCGACTGGATTC